CAGACTCCATCTCGGCAGGCTGCCCCTCGTCTCTCCCGGTTGCATGCGCTGCAGGACATAGCTGGCGTTGGGCTCGGCCCTAGTAGAGCGAGAGCGGTGCATCCTAGCCATCTCCGGACCCTCCTACGCCATCATGTCTGGCCCCTTCCGCTTCCAGCAAGAGGAAGCCAGGTCGCCGCTGTACGTACCGCCTCTGCACGCGCATGTCGCCTGCTGTCCTGAACTGACTCGTGTTAGCGATCGGACCGCGTCGCCCTTCTCCGCCGGCCAGCCTGTGTCGTTCAAGACCAATGTCAACCGTGCCAAAACGAAGAAATGGGTACAGGCGAAGAAGAACGCCTACGACGGCGACGATTGGGGCGGCTACGACGAGTACGACGAATACGGCGTCAACCAGGAGCCCGAGCAGCCACAGCCTCTGGCGCAGCGTTACTATGCCCAGCGGACGGAGCAACCATCGCGCAGCTTCACCGACCCCTCCCAGCAGGCGCCCCTCCCACGACCCCGAAGAAATTCCTTCGAGCACGGCGAGGAACAGCGCGCCTTCTCCTCAACAATACCGCAACCCCAACATGGACACGGCCACGAGCATGAGCAGGGCTACTCTGCCATGCCCCCGCCTCTCCAGACTCGCATATCGCAGGTCCCTGCCGATTTCACCCCGCCGCTCAACACACAGTTTCCCCCGCGCAAGAGTAGCATAGGCCAGGGAGACATGCCAACGTCTACTTCGCCACGATCACGCAATGGCAGTCAGGCATCTGACAAGCCGCTACCCTTCATCAGACCAGCCGACATATACAAGCGGCACCAAGAGGAGCGGGAGCGGGCGTCAATGGAATCATCGCGACCAAGCCTGGACTCTCTTTCTTCTCCGATACAGGACAACGTGGTCTCTCCTCAAGAAGGCGGGCGATCGCTGCAGCCTATGGAAACCGTCGCTGAGCGCAAGAGCGAGTATCTGCCTGATTATGATGCAGCAGCCCCGCACGACAAACAACAACCCCAGCAAAATCAATCCCTTGCGTCACCACAGGATGACAAGGGTCTGCGCTCTGTTGTTGATCAGGCATTTACTCGCGCTGACGAATCGCGTTCCGTTCCGCCAACGCCCATATCAAACGACAACGATTCAACTTCAGACCTTCTGAGGAGCAATACTGGAAGCACTTCCGGAATCAGCCCAATCATGAGCCGCGTGCCCAGTTCAGCAGCCTCAGCACTGAGAAACCGTGATCAAGCAGAAAGCACCACACCCGCCATCGCAGAAGAACCAAGTGAAGTCACGACGCCCGTTACCCAGCCAACCTCTGCGAAGATCGTCGAGCCCATACACCACGTTCCACGAAAACCGTCCCCAGGTCACAATCGCAACTTCTCCAACTCTTCTCTACCGCGCAGCGGCCTCGCTACGCCCACACGCGGTGACAGTCCTGCACGATCCCCTATCTTAGCACCGAGCAGAGACGTACCCGAACCCTCCTCTGCCCTTGTTACCATGGAAAGCAACGAAACTCCGGGCGCAATGGAAGGCGGCCTTAATGGTCCATCCCCTGCATATGCTACTCGCGAGGCTGATATTGCTACTGCTGTCAGGGATGGTCCAGACAATGGCGCACCCGGACTGGGCGCTTCAGAGCTTCAATCACAGAACAACTTCCTCGAGTCGCATAACGCGCAAAGCCCTCTCGATGATGGCTTGCCGCGCGATCGCTCAGAGTCTCCAAGCAAGGGTCGTGTGCAGGCGTTGGCTGGCAAATTTGGAGAGGTGGCATCGTCGAGACGTGGCTCTACACAGTCCAATCGCTCGAGGAACAGTGTTCAATCGTGGGAACGGAGCAACGATAATTCACGTGCGGCGTCTCCAACGAAAGCTAGCCCTTCGAAACCCAGCAGTCCTGTCAAAGAATTTCGTCCCCATCTTCCAGGCCAGTGGGAGTCTTATGCTACTACCGCTATGACACCTTCGGATCTGGGCGAGCAAGACCGTCGATTAAGTTTCGCGAACAATGGTCCGAGTGCGCTCAACAAATCCGATCTGACGGCTACAACGGATAAGAAGCCACTTGCCGGGGCATTGTCGGCAGAGACGGACACTCCGGATCCGCTCGCCGCTCTTAGAGATGCTGGAGCTGCAATGGTCAATTCTATCCGCACAACCTTGGGTGCCGATGACCAAACATCCGAGACTCAACAGCAGCAAGCACGTCGTACTGACCACGGAAATATCTATTTACCAAGGCCTCTTCAGCTAGATCGTACTGGCACTTCCGGCTCAAGCGTGCCGCCAACTCCCCCCGCGAAAGACACCCCGGAATCAGAATTTCCGCCACCCCCGCCTTTGAAGGAGAGGCCCTCACAGCCCTTCAAGAGTCAGCCTAAACGACCGAGTCTTGATCCTCAGTTAAGTACTGACCCTTCTGCTGAAGACCAGGAAAGTGACCGTCTTCGCAAGGAGATTGTCGCCAGTCTCAGCCCTTTCAAGGCTCCAGCGTCGCCGGCCAGCGAGTCTAATCAAGCCTCGCTCCACCCCGCCAGCCCAGGCACAAATCGTGCTAGCTCTATTCTGCCCAGTGAGTATGATACCTACTGGGCAGATGAAGATCGGGCTTCTCGTCGATCTTCGCAGGATACTGAGCGCTATGCTCAAGATCAGCCATCCGATGCAGCCATGTCTTTTCTCCCACAATCGGAAGAACCGACCAAGCCTGTGATACTCAATCGATTTAGCTGGGAGGCAAGCAACCCGCAACCGCAAACACCAGACCAGCAAGCGCACGGTGTAGCCGCTGTTGAGCCTACAAAAGCCTCACAGGCAACGGAGAGTCGCCTTCCCACTGTGGAACGAGCTGCAGATCAAGAACGACAAGAGTGGTCAGAAGGCCTTCCGGACTCGTACTTTGGCCCAGAGCACACTTTCACGGTTACTAAACCTGACCCTAGTAGTAGCAGTGATATGCCGCAACGATCTGCTTCTCCAACCGTCGATACTGCGCGCCCCGGAACTAGCCCTGCTCGAGAAGAAACACGCTCCCCGGGACTTCATGTTGTCAACACAGAGCTCAATCCCGAAGCCGTGGATCTCCCACCACGTTTCAGTGCGGAGCATGAGCAGACTTCGGGACTCGGAGGATCCAGCTTGAACGAGAAGCAACGGATAGAGCAGCCTGCGGAACATCCCGCAATCGTAACATCTGACGACGAGCCGAAAACACCCATTGCCGTACAGGAGGAGCCTTCGCCGAAGTCGCCAATTACGGACAAGCCTCTGGGCGCTCGAGAAATAGCAACGCTTAACACTGCTGCTGAGCGAATTGACACCTACAACAAGACACGCGAGTACTGGGCGACAGTTGATCATGGCCTTAATGACTGGCTACGCTCTGCGCTCGAAGCAAACCCCGAGCTGGCTACGCAGACGTACCCAGTACAGCGTGTGCCTACAAGCTCGGCACGTCACAGGCACACTGGCTCTCTTGCACTGTTTGGCAAGCTTGGTGGTTCGAGTAGCTACGACGTGAGCGCCGACCAAAATAACAATGCTAGCGTACCAGTCCCCGCGAGCTCAGGCTCTCCCACTAATCCTGCATCATCTGGTTCAGGATTTGGCGGACGAATTGCAAATCAGCAGATGCAATTGAAAGGCAAGGACTTGCTTCATACTGCTAATGTGTTAGGAGGGAAAGGCATGACCAGTGCCAAGGGATTGTTTGCGAAAGGCAAGAGCCGTTTCGGCCGCGAAAAGGTAGATAAATGATCTCTTCTACCCATTTTCTTTGCTTGGCATTCTCATCGTATGTCACGACTACCATTTTCCTTGGTCCATGGACTACAGCGGGTGATTGGATGTACTCGTATGGACATTGAATGTGGCGTTTCTGACCTTGCTTTGGGCGTTTTCATTCTTTCGCCATTTACGATCGTAGTCCTCGCCTGTAGCTTCATAATCATCTCAACGTAATGCCAAGTCTGACTGAGGCGGCTCAGCTTCCTTACGACGGTGTTGTTTGCTGATGTGATGCGTGATTCAGACCTCCTCGTATAACCGGGCCGACTCTGCTCCTTCTTCGCGCGAAGCTTCTCAAGAGCCCGAGCTCGTCACACGAAGATCGAGAGCATCGTCAGGAGTGCAACTGCTACGCTCCATGACGGAAAAGGAAAAGAAGGGGGAAGTCTCGAACGAAGAGAAGAAGAAGCGTCGATTTTCATTCTCGTCCCAATTTCGGCGTGCCAGTCGCTCCAGAACCAGACCGAGTAGTGTGGCGCTGCCGAAAACTACTCCATCCGTCCTTGACTCGACATCTAAGACCTCGCCTCCCCGCGAGCTCCATCACTACCTGATGGGGGAACGTCGGCCGCATTCTTTCCATGCTCCAGACTCTTGGGTCGGCACTCCACCGGCTGCTCTCAACGAGTACTTCAATACTACAGCGATGCGAAGAAGCTCTTCGCAGGCGCATTTGGGCATATTGCCGTCGCCAGCAAAGAGTGCCTTTTCAAACCAGGACAAGGACGCTGAAGACTATGTTCCGCCCGTTCCCCCCATTCCAAACGAGGTTGCCATCAAGCATTATCGACGTAGGTCTAGTCAGGACAGTGCCAGCCATCGGATGTTGCAATCTGTTATTCGGCATTCAACCCCTCCTATTGTTCTGAATAGACATTCGATGCCAGCAGCGATTACGAGAGATCCAAAAAGCCTCGATTATCACCCAGCTTTTGCTGACGATAATAACATCTCTGGTGCGCAAGAAAGAGCGAATGACTATAAGACAATGCTTCGTGCCCCAGAGGGATCTTTCCAACCAGACCTACCTACAGCAGAATCTGATGATCTCCGACGCGATGGGTTTCAATTCGGGTTCAGTGACGAATCGCCAAAGAGGGTCAGAGATCATCGCATCGATGATGACGATCAACCGCCACAGTTGAATCACGACCCATTACCAACATCCTTGCGACATGGCCAGCAACCGCCTCCTATGTACACTAACAGACACATGGATGTGAGCGATGAAGACAGCGACAGGGAGCTTGTTCGTGGAAGAAGCTTGGCACCAGTGATAGCACTGAATGCGAAACAGGGATCTGACAGTGTCAGCCCTGTACTAGCTCCTGTGGGCAAATCTGCCAGTATTACATCAGATAAGAACGGGGATGTGGGGGATGTCGAGCGCGATGACCAAATGCGTGGAGCCCGGGTCATCAGGTATGAAGACACACCCTTTGTGCTGGCGCGACAGCCACCAGACAATGTCGCTGCTATAGAATGGCCGTCTATGGATCCTCTCAATACCCTAGGTTCGAAAGAAAGGGCCCAGGAGTCTGCAGAACACTCGTTCCTGGACATCGGACACGAGACGTTTGTTTACGGCAGCGCTTCGGTTCCGCAGCACCACACAGTCAACGAGCTCGCCAGCGCAGAACAAACGATCCGCCAGGGAGAACGTGCATCTAATGTTGAATCGCCTACTCTCGGTCTTCTTGATGATGCCTTTCGTACTGGCAAAGTCTGGCGAGTATCGTCGCTCGAAGCTAGTGTACCTGCATCCGAGGCGCCTTTTGATGTCAAAGACGACGAGGGCATGTCGAGAGATGAAAAGGCGGATGCGGAACGCGCTTTCAGTCCTGTGTGGTTTGCTAAGAGCGACTTGCAGCTTCCGACAAGCACTCGGGATCTTGGGAATGCAGATGGAAGCGCAGAAATCCGCGCGACAACATCTGGAGAAGAACGCGACGCGGACGCAGGCAGTCGAGTAATGGCCGTTGGCGCGATTGCAGCCCCAGCCCAGCAGGAAATACGAAGACATGGGGACCGGGAGCCTTCGCTTAGCCATACCCTTGCGGGGGCCAGTGCTGCGGCGGCTGACAGCGACACCTCGACGCGCTCCGCGCCGCCCTCCTTAGTTGTCGACGCCGCTGAAAAGCATACCGCCTCTAGATCACTTGGTCCATCATGGGGCCGCGGACACAGCATCATTGATCCACGCGTGGCTGAGCGCGCTTCCGATGAGATGGGGGACGAAAGCAACCTCGTCACGCCCGCCGGGCAGGTTCCGCGCATTACCACCCAGAACGGTCCGGAGACACCCAAGGCTGGACAACCGTACAGCGAGCATTCACGTCCCGCCATGTCAAACAGCCACTCCCATGGCCAGGCCAGCTTTCCGGACTTCAAGCACCAAGCACAGCAACTGCAGGTTTCAAATAGCGCTACGGCGGCTCCAGAACGGTCAAGATCCATGCTCTCGCAGATATCTGCCATGGTTTCTGACGAGGGAAGCAACCCTTACTCTCAAACATCTACTGGAAGATCAACCCCGTCAACAATTCGTCGCATGCAGCCAGAGTCCACCGTGAAGCCTTCGGCAGTCCCACCACAGATTCCAGAGGAGATTTTGATGTCGTATGGTGGCGACGATGGTTTTGATCTTTACGCAGATCATAACGGAGTCGTCAAGGATGTGCAAGACGAGCATGGCCAGCCTTTGCGACTTGGACATCTCCAGGTGCGAGGGGCAACTACCCAACAACAGCCATCACAGCCTTCAACTTCCGGTATTGCGACAGCGCCATCATCTCGCGATGGTGATCGCCCAAGATACAGTTTTGAAAGGCCAATGAGCTTCGTCTCAGGACCTGAAGACCAAGACGGCAAACCTCAAGATCAGATCAACCAGACCGCATCTGCAAATGCAACGCAATCTTCCCCTGTCGCTATGCAGCATCGTAATCAGTCCCAGCAATCACTACATATGGACACAGTGTACTCACCGAACCCGCTAGCAAACGTCGCACCGCCCTCGGATCGGAGCGCATTGAGGCACCAGCCAATGCTTGCATCTGGCCCATCTCCATCCAAGAATATCTTCCAAGCGGTAAAGTCAATCGACCCCAGTAACAAAACCACTCAGATTACCGTCAGTTCTTGGCGTCCTGCGGGCCATCAAGCTTCCCAGCAAGCAGTTTCCGGAAGTCCTGATCTTAACTGTCAGTTACCACAGGCCACTCAAGCTTCGGGTCGGGTTCCGCTAGCAGAACAAGAGAGGCCAGCAATTTCGGGGCCGCAGAGCAACCCGAATCGCGCACAAGGGCAGATGGAATCTCATGGACCCAGAAATCAATTTGAACTGCAACAGCAATTGTTGCAGAGGCAAGGGCAATACCAAGTTGCCGCGTTTAGACCACCCGCCAATTCTTCGTCTCAACCTGCCGAGCAAACATCAAGAAACCAGGAGAAGTCATCTTCGAAACCTCGGCTTACATCAATGTTCAAGAGCTTTGGTGGTAAGACACAGGCGAACCTCCAGCATACGACCAACTCTGGCAATACAGCCATAATCTCCCAGTCCAAGCCACTTCCGCCGGATCCTAGTTCTGGTACTCCGCTTCACTCTGTAATGGACAGATTTATGCGCCCTAGGGAGGCATCGGCAGAAAAGCTTATCGACCAGCAACATCCTTTCTTGCCGCATAGTCGCCCAAACATGGGGCAGCCACCGGAGTTTGGGCAGGCTTCGTTACAGGTACACTCGGTAGAACCGCGTGTCGATTCGAGAACGCGCATTGCATCCGACCTTCCCAACGACTTTTCATCCCAGCAGCCACCGTCAATATCCAATGTTCAAGTCCAGGCCCATCAAGTATCATACTCGAAAAGACCAGAATCTGGCAAGAAGAAGAGATTTTCTGCGTTGGGCGCTCTGTTCATTCGAGGTGGTGTGAATGGTGATGGATCGGCTATGAAATACAAGATGTCAAAAGAAGGAAAGAAGGCACAGAAGAGTATACAGGCGACCGCTACTCCAGCTACTCCCAGCGCCTCTCATAGAGTACCTCAGCATCAGCAGAATAAGCCACAGCAGTCTGGGTTAGCATACTATCCTCCCGGACAACTTCCGCCTCATACCATACAAAGTAGGCCACCCCTGGGTCAAAAGCTTGGGCCATCGCAACCAGCACCCAACATGCATCCTCAAAAGCTACCTCAGCCGTATCAGCAACAAACGCAGCAAGTTCTGTCATCACGAGAGCCAATCTCTAGTTTACATTCAGAGGAAGCGTCTGCATTCCTTAAAACAAAGCAGCTAGCGATGGAACACAAAGCTCGGCAAAGCAGCTTACAATTGAATCAATCCCAAGCTTCCAAGCCTGGGATTGAAGCACAGCCCTATAGTGCACCATTCCAGAACACTCTTGCACACACGCGAGATCAAGATTCGGATCCACCTCCTGGAGGATACTATAATCATCGTGCTGAGCCAGCTCCAGCTGGGAGTGGAGCCTACGCAGCTTCTTTAGCCGCGCGGGGACAGGTAGATCAACGTAATCAACCGCAAACAGCTCACCAAGGAGTTTATACGGTCCCACAGGCTGAGCGACAGCAGCAACCCCCCGAAAAACAGCAGTCTGAGTACGAGCAGAGTGTTCAGAGGGACCATCAATATGAGCGACAACTAGAACAACAAGCACACCCCGAGACATCCCAGGACCACCTTGCCCATCATACCTGGCGAGCACAACGGGAGGAACTACTACGACAGGAGCGATCTGCACCAGAGCACAATAGGCCATGGCCGAACGACGATGCGTGGGTGCAACGACCGCGTCAGCAGCAACAACACCAATCTTTGGTAGAGTGGCGACCGAACGACTATCAACCTCAGCTTCCGTACCACAATGCGCACGGCTCAGGACCTCTTTTTGCTTCTCAAGATGATGAGCCGATATCTCCACCTGCAGTGTCCCCTACGCAAGAGCCGAGTTATGACGCACCTCCAATACCTGCGGCGTATAGTCATGTATCTGGGGCATTTGTATCGCCGCTTGATCGGCAACAGCAGTCGTTGTCACTCAGTCAGACGGATGCGCCCGTGCAACTTTCAGTGGATCAACACAATCGTCCGCTTTCGGAGTCAATAATGCAGGCTGTGTCGCCGCAAGTGTCTGCACACTCACAAGTACCTCCAAACGGTCGAATGCACTCGGATGCTAGCACAATGTCCCTCGTGTCGCCAATATCAAACTCTCCAGCAATGCCTAGCTACTCTCCAGCCCCTAGTAGCCAACGGTACCAGAATCCAAGGATGAGCAGCATATCAGAAGTCCATCAGCAGGATCTTCCATGGCATCTCGACTTCCCAGCAGGAGCAACCGAACAAGACATTGTTCGAGCACGACAGGGACAATACATGCAAGAACGCTTTACCGCCCAACAACAACAGCAGGACGAGAGAGCTGCCGGATCACCATCGCCTCGTTTATCGCCCGAGCAGACTACGCTAAATACTGTACCTCCACATGCTCAAGCACACGGCGGTGGATTCAGGGAAATTCTGCCGCGAAGTTTCACGCAGCCCTATGCGACCTCGCAGGCAGCACAATCAAGTCAAAATCTTCAGCCCATTATCCGCCGCGACGCGACACCTGTACAGCCAACACCGATACATCCGGGACAATCCCCGCCACCCGCAGCGTATCCTCTGCCCATGTCTCCCGACCCTACGGTGATCAATAGTCCCCAGAATTTCATTGCAAGCGAATTTGCCCCACCTCCACCACCAAAAATAGCCCAAAGTCCTATGCGACCCGGACCTTCTAACGCCCAGCCTTTTTCATTTGAGGGTCAACGGCCGCATTCTCATAGCCCATCGTCGCCAAACTACGTCTATACCTCGTCACACGGGAATGGATCCCAGTATGATGTGAAAGCTCAAAATGAAGCCCCACCATCATATGACGGTCCTGGTGTGCCTAATAGTGGTTTAGATAAGAGTCGCCCCGAAGGACTTCGACCGCTCAATATCACAACGGATCTAGACGGTGAACCGCGTGATAGACAACCAGATTCTCGTCCACGTCAACCCTCGATTGGTATCCTGCAGCATCCACAACCCGCCTCAATGGCTGCTTCACCTCAACGCACATCACCAGACATGGGTGCGGAGTCGTTACGTCGCCAACTCCTACAGCAAGAGAATCTCGCCCACATGGAACGCGTCCAGCGCGAAAAGGAGAAGCGCGAGAGACATGAACGCGATAGGCAGGAACGCGAGGCTGCAAGAGCAAGAGCAAGAGAGCTTGAGCGCAGCGCGTCTGGTGGCGGGCAGGTTGGCAGCCTGAGAAGCATTGGCGGTAGCACTACCGGAGGAGCTTTAACCTGGGAGAGACGTGGGAGTCACAGCAATAGCAGACAGGTATTTGAGCTGCCTGCCGTGGAAGATGACGAGCCCACTATGAAGGCGACTAGTTATCCTGGACAGGAGTGGGTACCTCCCATGTGGGATGGTGACTGAGCCCCAGTCTTTAGTTCGCCCTTTTTCCTTGTGATCATCCCAAATTTGGTCCATTCGCGCTAATTCCCCCCGTTAATGTATTCGACGCGAAGTGATATGGTCGCACATTTCCTTCTGTGAATATCACACATCATTGCATCTTGGTTGATCTACGCGTTTTGAGCGAAATTCGGATACCCTCATCGTTTTTCCTGGTACACATTGGACAGTCTCGGTCTTCATCTTCTTTTCTTCGTCCAGCTTTGTTTCTACTTCTGTAAATTGTGGGTAATAGTAGATAAACCTTTTTACCTAGGGCAGTGCAGCGCCAGTTCCGCACTACACATCCCTTACAACATCGATTTAATTCACTATCTGCTCGGCAAGACAACGTATCCAGTTTCTTCCACAGTTCGGACCTGATGGGGAGTCAAACTCGTTGCCAACACCAAGATCTCTGTACCGTGGTCCTTAGGGGCCCACCTCTGACGATGAGAGAAGAGCAGAATATTACCAATCCAGACACAAACATTTGCTCAATCGACAAAGACGTAAAAGCTGCAACACACCATCTCGAACGTTTCGAACTTCGCGATCCGGCCGGGTTTTAGAGAGGCAAACACTAGCGGCGCCCAAACACTGTTAACGCATACCTACCTCAAACTTTTCACTCGTGTCTGGACAACGCTATGCGGGTATTGTGTGCGACGTCGTCTATACCAAGGGAAATTAAATCCCCTTCGCCCACTACCGATGGAGCCTTTTCCGCCGACGCTTGATCTTTCTAACGGTACAACTCACTCCTCTTTTCATCAGTCATTCTGCTCAACTCCGATAAACCACCCGTACGAGAACCTCTAGAAATAGCAGGCATAAATCATTCAATTAGAACGCCACAATGTTCCGCAAGATCTTCTCTGTACGAACAATGCGTCAACGCATAACACCTAGCGCCCAACCCATGTCGCGATTCGACAGTCTCCGTCCAAATACTCTCGACGCTGTTGAAGCTTCAAACGCCGAAACCGAAGAAGGTTTCGGCTTCATAGTCGCCTACTCAACTTTCCACCCGTGCTCAACGCGTCCCCTTTCTTTTCCGCTATGCAGCGGGATGGTAACGCCAATGCCTACAGTATTGGAATCCACGTCTCAAAAAAATGACATGAAGGAGACTATGAAGGATAGTAAGAGAGAGAAAGAGGAGGGTGTGGAGGAAGTAGCCTTTAAACCATGGCCATACTCCCTCCCGTCATGGCTTCGACCAAAAGCTAGTACAACCTTTTCACTCATGAGCGACAGGACCCTTCCGATTTCTGCTGTAGTAGATTCTGAGCGCACAGGCGTTCTACAGTTCATTCTCTACGGTGTCCCGAATCCAGAACGCTTCTCTTACAGCCAGGAACTAGTGGCGCCGGGTAGTCTTTTGCATAAGGTTCTCCATGGGATCAAGGAGATGGATGAGTGTGAGGGTACTGTTGCTAGTGTCACCGTTGTCGAAAGTGAGAACGTAGACTTGGGCGAGGAGAAAATCAAGAAGGAAGAAGATGAGGCCATAGTGGTGAAGGGTATTCAGAGCAAGGTTACAGTGGAAGATGTGCTGGAGAAGAATAATCATATGGGGCATGGGATGATAGCGAAGCAGCGCTTAGCTCCTTCTCAGAATTTAACTTATGATAAGCACAGTGCATGTAAATAAGGATGAGGACGAATACTTGCAGCCTAGAGCTGACATAAAGCTCAGATCGAATCTAAGCAACGTTCGTTACACCATGTGTCTACTGACTTGTATGTGGGCAAAGAAAAGTGACTAGGCAGCAGTTTTCCTGCTCCTAAACAATAAGTGTACGACACATTACACTAAGTTTTTAAACAATGTATCAGATAGCCATGAACGTTAAGATAAAATTCCTATTCTTAGCGCATGTGTCTTTCGCTTAATATGTGTTAGTTTCCTTCTATTCTAAGTTATATAGAGTGATACTAGTTCTAGTTAGAACTATTATGTTTGCTCTATACATGTATCTGTCGTAGACACGATGGCTTCTTTCTTATTCTATCTTTTGTGACACTACTTTACCTACCAACCTCAATTATCCTAAAGACATACAGATATTATGCAAGAGACTGACAAGCTCTCGGCTTCACTCACAGAAGGCACGGCTTAGCTGCATTAAGTCGGAGTCGGTCTCTGCAACTTTGTTATCTCTCGCGCGTTAATCTTCCCTTCTAATAGAAGCTAATGTGAACACTAACATTTAAATTAACAGCACTAATTTTCACCCTGCTACTCTCCAGTGCCGAAGAACTTAGAAAAGGCGCAGGAGACCGACGACCGCTGCTTACTCCGGCAGCGATGAACCCAGCATGTCTCCGAAGCTCCGTCAACTCGCGCCCAACCCTGTCCCTGCCAGTGTTCGTTATGTGCTAGCCAACTCTACTCCACCAAGCCAAAATGTTTCAATTCAACCCGACAACACTGCTATTGCGTCTGATACAGGCCCATCGAGCAAGACTGCCGAGAGACTCTCCATTTTACGCAAGAGGTCCACATACAAACCCATGTCCAAAACTCGCAAAAGAAGAAATGTGGCAAAAGATGCCCCCACAACACGTGAGTCGTCGGATAGTCCAGTTTGGCAATTGGAACGGTGACAGCCGGAGCAGTGAAAGACATGGAACCACACAAAGCGATGGAGGAACTACTGAGCTAGTTTGACGAGCATCAGCTGGGTTGGCACCGACATAGCGGTTCGTATGGATTGGCTAGCATGCCCTACATTGAGAGGGGACTGCCAGTGACATGGGCATGTGTGAAAATTGCGAAGAGAAAACAGCAGATGAGGGACGGCGACCTCTAGGGAGGTGATTAGAAGCACGACTGGTATAGAGAGAATTCATCGGAAAACATGAAGTCTACGACCGGAGGGGAAGCTACACAGTGGATGGAGCCGAATATGGGTTGAGCTGATGTGTGTTTGCGTAAAGATGACGTGCAAAAATGGGGCTATGAAGGTTTTTTCTCTGGGGCAGCCTTTCTCCCTGGTTTCTTATGCTCAGTGTCGTAGATGATGACACCAAGAATACCAGCATTGACGAGGAAAAAGAGTATGCTCGAAGCCCAGAGTCCGGGAACAAAGGTCGAACAACCGTTGAACTCAAGTTGAAAGCCCTGCTGGAGCCAGGCAACTTGGCCCACAAGCCAGAGCAGAAGTGCTGTGATCCCAATAGGCGCTGAATGCAGGAGAGTCGAATCTGGAAGGTAGTATGGGAGAAACATCATGTACCAGAGGAAGTACTCGACAGAGTTAGTATTCATGCAAGACCGACAATCCATCGTATCGCTTACCTGGCTTGTGCAGACCTTGTTGAAGGTAACGAAGGCAAACGTCTGGGCTAACATCGTGTTCGGAAGATCCTTCTTCGCTAGCGCTAGTGGTATAAAGAAAGCACTGAGAAGCAGTTGCGGAAGGAATGCCAAACGCTCCAGTCCGGAAGATAATGTGGTCGGCTCCAAGTTCGTAGGCGTTGGGGACGATTTCAGGTAGAGGAGCGTATTGTAAGGCGAAAAGTTGTGGCGGTGGTCCGTACGAGTCAGATGGTAAAAGTAACTGTGCTCGAGGAATGGCCATCCGTAAACCTTGTACATAAGCAGGTTCAAGCTCGCAAACGCAAGGAGACTGTAGAGTGCGAAATATATTCTCATGGGATTGAGAAAGTTGCGCGTTCTCTCAAGCAAGGAAGTCGATGGTTGCTGTCGGATATCTGCCCTTGTTGCGACTTGCGTGTCATCGAGGAACCAGACAATAGAGGCTGCGTAGATGAACGGGTAGATTTTGAAGTGCACTGCGAACCCGAGCAAGAACCCAGTAAGTGCTCTTTGCTTTGCCAACACCGCCCAAAGCAATGCAGTCACGAATACTCCAAGCAGTCCCTCGGAGCTACCTCTTGTACTGATAGTGGCCACCATTGGATTCAGCAGCCAAATGCTGGCAAATTTGAGGGCTCGCTCATTGCTCATCTTCTTGTACTGTTTCAAAATACGAAACATCATCCAACCTGTAGCGACATCGCCGATGGCGAACAGGACCTTTCCGAAAGAAAACCAGAATTGCCCAGACCATACAGTAGGGTAGATGAGCCACGCCAGGAGGGGCGTATAACGATACGTGTCCCGTGCGTAAGGGGATTGGCCGCGCGAGATGTAGCGCGCAGCATCCGTGAAGACATAATAGTCAATGTCGGTGTATTTCATAGGTGAATTCGCATCCTGCCAGAGTCCATATAACAGGAAGACAACTCTTAGGACGATTGACGTTGTGAAGACCAGTGGTGGACTGCGAAAGAAAAAGAAAAGAGCCATGTTGTCTCCGGCATTACAAAAGCCAAGTTGACCAGACAAGACGCTGAAAAAAGCGAACCCGATGATAGGAGGATCGGAACTGATTTCGCTGGGTGGTGTGTTGATGAAACCCTACAGGATGGACTCTCCAGGAGTGAGAGCAGCCGAAAGCGCCTTAGTCCGTAAACGCGATAGCGTCCACGTGAGGACGTGCACTAGCGGACAATCCCAGCGTTTGCCTGACGTTGAGTATAAGCTCACCATCCACGCAGATTCATGGGCCTCAAACGACCGAGAGACGCAGCAATGGCGGACGAGAAGCCAGAGCAATCTCCATCGCCCTTTGTGTCGATGTTTGAAGGCTTCCGCGCAGAGCTGGATGAACACCATGATCGACGAGAGAGAATCATCAAGGCGTCGCGTGACATCACCGCGTCGAGCAAGAAGATGTACTAGGCAATGTTCGAGGTTCTTGTGGCCGATTGCTAACAACTGTGCAGCATCTTCACTCTCCAGAGGTAGGTCTTCATGATGGCCTTACCAAACACACACTGACCTGACAAGGGTCCGCGCTGTTGGCCAAGCAGTACCACCATGGGTCACCAAGAAGAATGCGGAATACTGGGAGACGATTGAAGATCGCTACAAGAACATCGCCGCCGACCTTCAAGGCCTGAATGCTTACCGCTACTCGCACAACATCACGGGCGGCAATCAAGAGTTCATGGAAGCGCTTAGCTTCCAGCATTACCTTGAAACACAATCACTGATCTCGTACAATGAAGCCAAGGCCCGTATCGCTGCTATGAGCGGCGAAGCTGGACCTATCTCCTTTACGCCAGAAGACTACATTCTCGGTGTCTGCGATATGACTGGCGAGCTGATGCGCTTCTCTGTCACGAGCATGGCGACAAACGGCAAACTTCCGTCTGGCAAGCAAGCAGAGGCGAACAAAAGGCTGAAGCAAGGCAATGGCCAAGACGATGCTGGCGACAAGATGGACATCGACGAGGAAGCATCAGTTGCGAATGAAAGCCAGAAGCCGCGGACTGTCTTGGATGACCTGAGGGCGATCCGGCTGCAGCTCGAGATGTTCGACGCACCGGGAGGGTCCAAGTTTGCAGCAGAGTTGGAGACGAAGAAGATGCCCGTGATGCGCGAGTGCGTGGACAAGGTAGAGAAGGGTCTCTATGGTTTGACTGTGCGTGGAAACGAGCGTCCCAAGGGCTGGATGCCAGATATGAGCAGTGCCAGGGAGGTAGAAAGTTACTGAGCCAGACTACCAAGGCGAATGAAATGCAAGATATCATTCCTGTGCAGTTGTTCCGGTGTGGCTGGGTGGGTGGCGCGGCGCACCCCACTTGGCGTGGGCATCATGGTGCGGTGATGCAGGCCCGAACTTCACACGCCCGTGTCGGTGACAGTGACACCAACGACTATGGTCCTCTGCACCATGCCCAAGACTGATGACCTCGCTCCCGCGCTTCGACTGGCCAGCGCAAATCTAATGCGCACACCCTGAAATCCTGCGTCGACACCCATGGCACGTACTGGCGCCCAACAACAAACCCGCACTTAGCCCTGCTCCAGCCGGAACCGTGGTTCACCAACCAAGCTGCCTACTACTCCCATCCGCGCACCGCCATAGCCGATCGCTACTACACCCTCACTACCCGCGGCTGCGAGGCACATCGGCGATAATCATGCGTCGCAGTACCTGCCCCTCGCGGCCTGGCAAGCCCGAGGCCGCCACGCGCGCACCCGAGCCACCGAAGCGCAAGGTATTCAACTGCATCGTCGACGATACCGCTCTGATCGCCGGCGTCAAGAAGAGCACCCGCGATGGCATCCGCAAGTGGATCGCCCAGGACGCTATACGTCTTTATGTCCCGCTGCACAGTAGGCCATAGCATCGCAGCTTCCCTGTCCCCTTGACTAACGCACAACAAGCCCTTACCCAGCTCCACCGCCTCAAGAACGGCACTGAGCGCATCCACGCCGACGCCCGCGAAGCCGTCAAGTGGCTCGACGAAGTCACGTCCAATGAAGCCGCGAGCCGTGTCCAGCTCGAAGGCGTCGACGAAGCCTACACGACGTGGGGAGAGGTGGAGCACTTCCTGCTACCCGACACATTGCTCTCCATGGAGGATAGCGAGTCGGACGAGGACGACTACCACGAGGATCTCGAAAGCTCCTTCAACGCCCTCGACATGTCCGATGGCACATCCATCAGCTCTACGCACAGCTTCGAGAACGTGTCCAAGACTCCCGAGTCGCCTGGTTCGCGTTCGAGCACGGCGTCCGGGCCAGTCGACGCCACCCCACACACAGACAAGGCAGCCACGCTACTCAGAGCG